CCAGCCACCCCTTCCCCTTCTCAAACCCCTCCCCATTTGGTTCAGCCTACATCTCTGCATGCCTAAGTCCCTCAAACACCATCCTCATCAGCTCCCCTATCTCTACTTGTCACTGGAGCCTGCAGTGTCCACTGTGGTGGGAGCCCCCAGGCTGGCAGAGCATCTAGCTTTGCTTGACCATCAGTGGTACCTCCTGTCCCTCTCCAGCACAGCTTGTTCATTCTGTGCACATCTGCCTCCTTGTGGCCACCCTCCAGTCCCTCGGCTAAGCCCTGCTCCTGGGGCCAACACACAAGCCCCTGTCTCAGCTGATGGAGGATGCTCTCTGTCTTCATTATCTTGCCAGAATCCTGCTCCTCCTGCAGGCCCCATCTGTCCCACCTCCGGCACACAGCATCATGCGACCTTTCCGCTCTCTCTGAGCAACCCCCTTCTCTGAACTTTCCCAGCACCTGACAATGTCTTCATTATCTTGCCAGAATCCTGCTCCTCCTGCAGGCCCCATCTGTCCCACCTCCGGCAAACAGCATCATGCGACCTTTCCGGTCTCTCTGAGCAACCCCCTTCTCTGAACTTTCCCAGCACCTGACAATGATCCCAGGTGCAGGGACATTTATCAGGAAATGTTATACTGCCCTGAATTGTCCTACATCTAGTTCTTCTGGTCCCTAGGTCACTTCCATTACATAGGATGGCTATATGAAGAGACCTTGGACTTTGAGGTCCTTTAGGCCTGGGTTGGAATCGTGGCTTTGACCCCCAAGCGCTGTGTGCACTTAAAGCAGTTTTGTAACTTCTCTGAGCCTCTGATTCCTGATCTGGAGATAAGAATACGAAGGGTCTTTTAAAAGTTCATGAAAAGATCCGTATTATCTTTTAATTCTATTTTCCATGAACTTTTTGAAATACCTAAATACCTATCCCTTAGGTTGTTCTGAGAATTGCAGAGAATGCAAATTAACTGTGACAGCTAACATTCTTTGAGCTCCTATGCTACGTCAGATACTCTCCTAAGCACTTCATAGCTAATTTCATTTTCACTCTCTTAAAACTCTATGAGACTCTATCAATAATGTCCATTTTAGTGATGAGGAAACTGAGGCCCAGAGGTTAAGCTATTTGGCTAAGATCATAGTGCTTGCAAATGGCCAAATCAGGATTCTGAGTTAGGCAGGCTGACCCCAGAACCCAAGCTCAAACCCCTGTGAGTCCTGGCCTGGAGCAGGCACTGAGCTGGGGCCATCATGGCTATTTTCATGTGCCTCCTAGTGCTGGGTGCTGTGTCCACAGGTTGGGGAGGGCCGCATGGATCTTGAAGCCAGAGCCAGGCAAGGGGAGAGTCCCTCTACTGTGTGGCACGGGATTATGACATGGTAAATAGAGCATAAGGCCTAGACACAAAAGGAAAGGCTTTGCCTGACAAGGAAGCCTGACCTGTATCTCAGCTTCCTGTTAGGGGCCTCACAATCATACACACCAAACTAAACCTCCTGGCCCATATTAAACTTGAACTTACCCTCCCCAGGATTTTACCCACCACAATAGAGACTTTCTTGGATCCACTTCTTGGTGGCTGCCATACTGTGTGATTGCCGTTGAAGTGAATTAGTATTGGTGGTGTTTTGAGGGTTTATTGAGTCATTCGCCGTGTCCAAGATAACAAAAACATTAATAAAGCATTTACTGTGTGCCAGGCTTTGCTAAGAAATTCATGTGTATTACATCACTTTATTCTCACAAAAACATGAGGCAGGCATTATTCTTATCCTTGTTTTATAGGTGAGGAAATTAAGCTTTAAATGATATTAAATTGTTGGTCCAAAGCCAGGCAGCTAGTAAAGAGCAGAGCCGGGGTTTGAACACAGAGAGCCTAGTTCTGAAAACTCTACTTGCACATTTTAAGAGGCCCCCTGAGATACAGGAAAACCAGCCACTACTTTGGATCTAGTACTTTGGACTGTCATGCTTCTCAGTCTGGGTGACTGCCTGCAAGGTTGTGACTTTATGAGTATGACACTGTGACTTGCCCTTGGGACCAGAAGATGAATTTAGCTGGGGGTGAATCAGGCACAATCAAATAGCCTCTACCACATGATGCTTTTTCTCTTTTCTGTCTCCATGTGCCAAGATGCCTGGATTGGGTGGTTCTCGGTCCTCCGGGGTTTATCTGATTGCTCAGTGGAGGGCCAGGCAGGGCACATGAGATTTCGGATGCAGCAGCCAACACAGACAGCCTGGCCTCCAGTCCAGCCTCTGTACTCACTAGCCGTGTGGCCTCAGGCAGGTTTTGCAACCTCTCTTAGGCCCAGTTTTCTCGACTGTACAATAGACATGATAATAGCACCTACCTCACAGTGCTGTGGTAAGGATATACTTTTATAACTCTTAGCACCCAGCACATAGGAAGTGTTCAGTAAGTGAAATCCATTATTATTATCCTGATTTTCATTTGCTCAACTCACTTATTAGTTCATACTTTTACTAATGCATGGATGACAAATGCAAAATGCAATCCAGATGCAAATATAAATGATACAGGCCTCGCTTTTCAGTGCAGACAGACACGAGCAACTTAATCATAGTTGACAGAATGAAATACATGTGGCGTCAAGGTGCTGGCAGCATCTAAGAGGACCCAGAGGAGGGTGATTGATTAAGACAAGAGGAACTGGGGAAGGCTTTACAGAGGTGGGACACAGGGATTTCTATGGACGAAGGGTGATGAGCAGGGGCAACAGTATGAGCAGAGCAGAGAACTACCAGCAGGGCACAGAGGGAGGAAGAGCCTGCTGAGTCTTACTATAAGCGGGCAGGAGAGACTGCAGCGGAGGAGCCGATGGGGGACAGAGGTGGACATCTGAACATGTTGACAGAGAACCTCAACTTTATTCCATATGGAGTCACTGGTGATTCTTCAGTAAAGGAGCAGCATGTCCAGCCTTTATTTGAAGAAGATAATTAGACATAGTAGGACAAGTGAGCTGGAGAAGAAAGATAACGGAGACAGAAAAACTAGTTAGATGACTGCTGCAACTACTGTCACTAGTAACTGATCATAAAGTAGGCCCCGAGAAAGGCTCAGCAAATACAGTTTACCAAGGCAGGAAGTGTGTTTCATAAAGACATTGCATAAAGGTTTCTATTTCAGTGGTTGGAACAAAAACATCTTGCCACCTTAAGTGTTGACTTTCAATTGTCACCAAACTTAAGGTATTAGAAATATTTCCCCATTGTGCCAGATAATCATAGTGGGAAGAGGATTTATCTACCCTCTCTTCTAGTTTTCTTGGCAAACCCCAACACATTATAATTCAGTACAAGTCAACCCAAAGAATAATTTATTAAGAATTATTGTCTGTTGGCGTCAAAGTTTGACCCGTATTTGGCTTGTAGAGTGAGACTCCTTCTTAGCACCTATCATGTTTTTCCCAAGAGAGGGCGCTACCACTGTCATTGCCTAAAATGTGGCCACTGTGATCCAAAGACCTCCTTCCCAACCCCATTCCACCTCCATGATTCCTTTGCTGGTGTCGCTGTGGAACCCACCTGGAGCTGGAGTCAGTGGTCAGGGGTAGAAATGGTAAAAAAAAAAAAAAAAAGAAAAAAAAATTCTGTTGAGGTTCTGAGGAATTGGGGGACCATCCACTGGGCTGCTTAGTGGGCTGGGAGGTGAGCTGGGACCCTCTATGGTGATTCAGAGGAGCCACTCTGCCATCTAGCCTGTGTCTGGTTGATTTCCTACACAGCAGAGTGAATCCCATTTAACATCTAAGGTCAGTTTATATGATGGGATAGATGCCAAGCTTCTCATATTCTAAATGTGTTGTGAAAGAGAAAAGGTCAATATTCTCTTTGGCTATCGTAATTCAGACCTATTTTATTCTTTAAGTTCATAAGCTACTAAAGGACCATGGCCTGTCATATCCATTTTTATATTCCCTGCAGAGCCTAGGACAGTGCCTGCCCCCTGGAGCTCAAAGACAATGAGGCAGCTTGGAGTTGGAATTCAGAGCATAAGCTTTGAAGCCAACCTGCAGGCTTCAACTCCCGGCTCTGCCATTTACTATCTGACCTTGGGCACATGACTCATCTGCCCTAGGCCTCAGTGTCCTCACAAGGCTTTTGAGATGGCTAAATGAGTGCAAAGCTCTAATAATATTGCCAGGCATGTAGTAAAGCACTGGATAAAATGGGGGGGTTTTTGTTTGTTTGATTTTAGTAAAAAAAAAAAAAAAAAAAAAAGTCAAAGGTAGAGCCAAAGAGAATCACAGACGTTATCCCCTCACTTTATATATCTGGAAACTGAGGAACAGAGATGTTAGGTGTCCTGCCCGTGCTCTACAACTAATTAGGAACAGAGGCTAGGTGAGACTTTAGGTCTATCTGACTCCCTGTCCAGTGCTACTACACCATCTACATATTGGTTCAAAGAAATCCTTAGAAGCCACATGGTATGAATTGCAGGTCCCCTATTGGGTTACCATAAGGTCTCAGAAATGTTCCTTGACAACGAAAAACATGGATCAGATTGCTCTGCCCAGTGGAACTTTTCTGTATGTTGTGAGAATTAATTTTTTTTAAAAAAGGAATCGGGGCCAGCCCGGTGGCGCACTGCTGCAGTGTGCTGCTTGGGAGCGCAGTGGCGCTCCCGCCGAGGGTTCGGATCCCACATACAGACCGGTTCCCGCTCACTGGCTGAGCGAGGTGTGGGAGCAACACTGAGGGTTGCGATCCCGTTGCCGGTCCCGGTCCGGGACGGGCGCGACACTGAGGGTTGCGATCCGTTGCCGGACACGAAAAAAGACAAAAAGGAAAAAAAAATAAAAATAAAAAAGGAATCAAAAGTAAATGAACATATGATTGTCGTAACCATTCAAGGTCAAGTAAATGGCACCAGGATGCCCAAAGGAAGGGAAGGCAGGTGTGGGGTGTCTGTGGGCAGGCTGGAGCTGGCCAGCTGAGATTCATGCTTGTACATTGTTTTCCACCTGCCATTTCAGAGAGCCCTGCTGATGAAGAGGAGCAGTGGTCAGACGACTTCGTAAGTATTTGCTCCCGGGACCAGGAAGTTACCATGCCCTGTGGAAGGCCTTTTTAAGAGCTTGTTTCTGAATTACATGCTGGTGATCAGCTGTACATCACAGAGGAGAGAGGGCAGGGTTGGGCCACCTACAGACAAGGAAGCAGCAATCTCATAATGGCTGGCTTGACCCAGCAGTCACTATGTGGCCAGGCCAAGTGCTTTACACACATTACCTCATTTAATCCTTACCCCAGCCCTATAAATTAGATATTCTTATCCCCATTTTCAGTGCTGGTATTCACAGTACTAACCAGCACAGCCAAAACAGGTGTTAAAATGTTTAAGTATTTCTATATCAGTTGGCAAATGCCTCTGCCCTAAACTCCCCAGTGTCCTATCACTGCCTGACCCCTGTCCAGAAGCTCTAAACAAACTACCAACTAAAGAGTTCATGCCTGGCACATCATGGGTACTTCAGGACCAAGGCATGGAACATTTAAGTAACTTGCAGTTCCAAAATTCAAACCCAGGCACTCAGATCTCAGAACCTGGCTCTTAACCACCAAGGTGCTTGCTGTGACCAAGAGAACATTAGTAAGCTCTGGGATCCAGGAGGATGAGAAAGAGAGAGACCTGGCATGATGACATTAGGGGCTGATGTATCAGAATTAACTGTCAACCTCTTTAACGTGGCTCTGCAATTTGCAGGGCCCCTGCAGTCACTTCTCTCTTGGGCTGACACTGGTAAGGACAACCCTTCACAATAATTATTCCTCACTTACATCAAATTCATCCAGAATGTCAGCCTGCTCCAATCTGTGAGTTTTAGATCTGGAAGAGATCCAAGAAGGCCTCCTTACAACCACAGATCCATTTCACAGATAAGGAAACTGAGGCCAAGAGAACGAAAATGACTGACCCACCACCACTCTGTTACTCAGTGGCCAGCAGAACCCAGACCCCCAGTCCAGTGCCAAGAATTGAGCCTGAGCCCAGCTCCAGCCTGTGTACACTACCTGGAGTTTATACAGTCTTAGGAGACAGCAGTTCCTCCTTCAACTCCAGAAAAAAAGAAAAACGAGGACTGAAGTCACCTGGGCGTGGAATTCCTCCCAGGGCCCAGCTGCCGCTGATCCTCTAGAAGCTCTGCAGCGGCGCCCCCTGCTGGCCGCACGCATAGGGCCACATCGGAAGCCAAAGAAGCCGTTTGGTCCACATCCAGAGGAAGAGAAGAAAACTGAGCTCGCTGGTGGGATGAAAAGAGCACACAGTGCAGACTTAGGAAACGCAAAAGGCAATCCGCGTGGAGAGGAGGGAATGACTTGCCCTAAAGTCAAACTACCCAAATTAAGATACCAGCTATCATAAAGTTGGAGTAAACATCACTCACGATTGTGTTTACTCCAGTGGATCCACACTGCACACAGAATGAAATCCAGGCTTGTTACTAAAGCTGCCAGCCCTGCCTGTATAAAACTGCAAGTGAAAAGCGACAAGCCAAAAAGCAGCGGCCTCATCCATTCATTGGAAGGAAATTCGTGCATGGATCGATCCTGCCTTGTGGCAGGCAGCGTGTGGGGGCAGCAGACCTCTCCTGCCCTGAGTCAAATACTTCCTCCACATGCGTGTGCCCATGAACACTATGTGCACAGCTGTCCCTGGAAAGCATGTACAAGCAGCTAGTGACTGTCTGCCTTTGGTAGGGGAGCAGAGAGGCTGAGAAGGAGACTTCCTTCCCCTTCCTTCCTCCTAAACTTCTTGAGCTTTAGACCACGTCGGTGTACTTTCAATATGAGCTTAAATAAAATTCAAATTTAAAAAAACAAAAAGAAAGAATGAACTCTGAGTCCTTTTGAAGCCTAGCCCCCCGAGGCCTACCAGCTCTGCTTAAAAAAAAAAACAAACAAAAAAAACCCCTCAAAGGTATCTAGGTATCCCTGTGCATCCCTCTCCCTCTCTTTATTAAACCTAGTTTTCCCTTGACCATCAGCATTCGTGGTAAATAAATCCTATCGGTTATTCCATTTGATTGGATCCTTTTCCTGTCTTTTAAAAATGTTTTACCTTCAATTGTTCTTTGTCCACATCCAGAGTTTTCGCCAGCCTTCGGGTTGAATAGTTCACAGGTTCCTGCAGGACAGCGCCGCGTGGAGGGGGTGAACTCTGGAGGCAGAAAGGCCGGCCCTGGCACCCCAGCTTTTCCTCTTACGAGCTCCTGCCCTTGGGAGTCAGCCTCTCCGAGCCCGGGCTTCCCGCCACTCCGCTGGGGGATCAGCTCCGACCTCCTGGGGCAGCACAGACAGGGTCGCTGATCGCGGTGTCTGCCTTTGCAGGACAGCGACTATGAAAACCCAGACGAGCACTCGGACTCGGAGATGTATGTGATGCCCGCCGAGGAGAACGGGGACGACAGCTACGAGCCGCCTCCGGCCGAGCAGGAGACGAGGACGGTGCACCCGGCCCTGCCCTTGGCCAGGGGCGAGTACGCAGGTGAGGACGCCCCGCCCCCGGGGGCTCTGCCTTCCGGGTTCACGGGGACGTGGGGGGCGGACCGAGACCGCAGGGTGCGGGGCAAACCCGGCCGCTGCCGAGCGCCCTCTGCCCCCTGCCCGCTCTCACCTCCCACCGCTCATCTGGGCACACACAGGTAATGGAGCCCGAGCTGCAAAGCGTTCCCACTCCAGGGGAAGAGGTATCTTTCCTAAATCGGAAACATTGAAAACAGGCAGAAATTAATAAAACGAGCACACTCTGATGGCTGTGCTCCCCTCCCATCCCCGCACCCCTGAGTCCCATGGGAAGCCAACCCTGAGATTAGTACCGACTTCTCTTAGGGACTCATCTGTTCGCAAGGTGCTGGAATCTTGAGAAGTCTGCAGGACGAGGATGACATTCCAGGCCCCCAGGGTCGGCTATGCCCCTCCTCCCGGCTCCTCCCACCAGACAGCCCCGCCCCGAGGCCCGGTCTACACTGTGGTCTTACCTGGGGCGGGGGTGCCGCGCAGGAGCTCTGAACCCAGAATTAGCCAACAGGTTAAATGGACGCAGCTCAGGTCTGGCGAGGGCTCTGTTCTCCTTAATGTCTGTCAGAAAGTATGTGTTTTGGTCTCAGCAGATGACGAAGTTCCCCAGAGGTGAGGAGAGCAAGCTTGTCCCAGACTGTCACCGGGATGCTAGTGAGGTCTGGCGAGGGCTCTGTTCTCCTTAATGTCTGTCAGAAAGTATGTGTTTTGGTCTCAGCGGATGACGAAGTTCCCCAGAGGTGAGGAGAGCAAGCTTGTCCCTGACTGTCACCGGGATGCTAGTTGATGCATCAGGACTAAGCGTTCCTGCACGTCAAAGTCTCTAGGCCCATTTTCACTGCCATCTGGGAGCACCCCCCTTACACCCCGCGTTGCTTTTCTTTTTAGTTTGGCAAAGGGTTGGGCCGTCAGCCGTCCTGAGCCTGTGGATTTCCATCTCTCCCCTGGGAGGATGTTTTTGATGGGGACATTCTCCTGATTTTGATCATGTAACTCAATGGACAATTGAAATTTTTTGCTAACATTTCACTTTGTTCTTTTAAGGAATTCTCCCAACATTTGTGGCTACATAGATGGCAGTGGTTTTACACTTTCTAGATCTCAATGGCTCTATCCAGGGAATGATCCAGAACCTCTTTTGGGTTACAGGGTTTTTTTGTTTGTTCCTTTCAAGACAACCGCTCAAGCCAGAGGCCGTCCCCACCCTTCAGCAAGACACTTCCCTGTAAGCCCAGCTGGCCTGCGGTGAAAGCCAAGCTGGCCGCCACTCTACCGGCCCCCGCCTCTCTGCAGAAGCCGCAAGTCCCATCCAAACCCAAAGACCTCGCTGAGGATGAGGTAAGGCAAATCTGTCCTGAAGGCATCCCAGGATACAGAAAGGGGAAGGGGTAAAGGACTGGGATGTTCCGGCCTATATAGGGCCAGTCTTCCTTCTTCCATGCCCTGCTCCTTGACTGCCCTGACTCTCCCTTACACTGAAAGGATTTTATTTTCTCTAAAAATGGCATCTATGCCTTTATTTTAAGCATTGTAATTTACTCGAGATGTATGGTGTGATGTCAGTACTGGGTCTGTGCCCTCACCTTATCCCCTCTTTCTCTTCCTCTTGGTTTCCTGTGACTCTTCTTTCCTCCATAAGACACTCTTTCCCTATCTTGATTCTTGGCTTCTCTGCCCTGCTCCTACCTGCTTTCTTTCCTCCACCTTCTTTTCTCTCTGCTTCTCCACTTTTCTCTTCTCAGATGCAGAAGGGTGAAGCAAGACATATAATGGAGACCTGCACGGCCTGTAGAGGAGCTGACCCCTCACTTCTGACAGCTCTTGCTTCTCACCCCCTTTCCCAGCCCCAAGGTATCCAGAGACCCACCTTCCTAGATTGTCTAGGATCCAACTCTTATCTCATCAATTTCCCCTCTGTCAGCACCTAGCTTTAATGAGTCTAATTTCTATGGAATTGCTCCCATTTGAGAATGAATAGGTAAACTCATTCAGACTGTTATAGTCATGACTGATAAAGCCTAATGTGTTGTGGCTCCCAGAGGTACTTGCATTTTAAATGAGGACAAAGACAAGCCCTCAAGCATAGCCATTAGGATAATACTACAAGTGTAACAGTCTGAGAAACAGAATAATATTAAAGTCAATTCTTAACCATTACCAGACATAATCTGATTGCAGCTTCTCTAAGAAATAACTTGTTCCTAAATGCCTGTAGGAACCTATGTCACAGCCTGACAAAAACCTATGGCTTATGTACGTGTTGTGAAATGATCTTCATTTCCACTTTAATATAATTTGTGGCCCAGCAGGAGATGAAAAAAAGGGACTTTTAAATGCAAATAGAGGGGCCGGCCCGGTGGCGCACTGCTACAGTGCGCCGTTTGGGAGTGTGGCGGTGCTCCCGCCGAGGGTTCGGATCCCACATGCAGACCGGTTCCCGCTCACTGGCTGAGCAAGGTGCGGGCGCAGCACCGAGGGTTGTGATCCCGTTGCCGGTCCCGGTCCGGTACGGGCGCGACACTGAGGGTTGCGATCCATTGCTGGTCACGAAAAAAGACAAAAAGGAAAAAAAAATAAAAAATAAAAAAAAATAAATGCAAATAGAGGCAGCATCTAGGCCCAAATCCCTGCTTTCATCCTTCTAGCTGTGTGACTTTGGACAAGCCAGACAACCTCTCTGAGTCTATTTTCATTTCTTCCTGTTATTTTGAGGATTTAATAAGAGATCATTTATACAGCACTAAATACAGTGCCTGACACACAGAAGGGATTAACATATGTTGGATTCCTTTCTACCATATTGCAGATTTTTCACAAAATTTAGTTTTCTAGTTTCTCCTGAAAACTAAAGACCTGGCAGCACTGGTCCAGCTGTGGAGTCCAAGCAATTGAGCCTCATGGCAACCCTCTAGCTCAGCTGCAAATCCCTAGCCCCTTTTCCATGTGTCATAGCCCCTGCACTCATGCTATACATATACCCCCAACCCTTTACCCTGTACATGCTCCCCAGTACTGTCAACTGCCTGCCCCTGTATGCATTTGAATTTATGACCCCTGCTCTAGGGACAATATAATTCAGAAAGTCAGCAGATTTAGAGGGAGAAAGTGTGGTCTGTCAATCTTCAGTCTTCTGTCAGTCCGAGAGGTGATGGGTGGGAATAAGGTGGCAGGGAGGAGCTAAATGGGGACAGGATGGGGAGATCAGTTGCTAGGACCTCACTGTAAATTCTATGAGCATTTGGCAAATCCATATGAAGATATAAATTCAGACACAGAATACAAATGAATACCGTGGGTTATGTAAGGCTCTCCATTTCTGTGAAGAACTGAGTAGACCCCAGCGAGGTGAAGCAGAGTTTTGCTAATAGCAGCCCATGGAGGTGGCTCAGGCAATCTGCACCAGTGGGAAAGAAGTACAGGGGAGGCTGTGTTCTGGAACAGGCAGATGGAGAGTCAAGATAAGAAACGTTAAAAAAAACAAAAAACAGAGGCCAACATTAAGATGTGGCTGAACCACTAGATGGGAAAAAAAAAGTCAAGTACAAGCATAAGTAAGAAATGCTTAGCTCTGCTCTGCAGGTTGTAGGCAAAATATTGTGGCATAGGCTAAGCAGAGAGTTGAAGGTGGGGCAAAGACATGTAGGAGGGACATCTGTGCTATAGTGATGAGAGTGGCTAACACCTGATGAATGCTGTGTGGCAGCTGGTGTGCCGAGCACTTCGTGTGCATTATCTCAAATCCTCACAACAACCCTATGAAGTATATACTATTATCATCCCCATTTTACAAATGGAGAAACCAAGGTGCAAAGGGGTTGAAAAATTTGTCCAAGGTCACAGAGGTAAATAGTAGAGCCAGCATTTGAACCCAGATAATAAGATGTTGGAACCTGGGTGCCAAAGGGCTAACCTGCATCACCTCTCCAGCATCCAGTGAGGAGAGACCAGCTCTTCATTCAACACAAATGTGCCAGGCATTGCATGGGCCCCCGAGCTTCAGTGGTGCCCAAAGCAGACCTGGTACCTGTCCTTATAGGGCTTCAGTCTTGTGGGTCTTAAGTAACTCTTGGATAGATTAGTCAACTTCCCTTAAATCCCTCATCAGTAAAATCAGGGTAAATATACCTAATTTAAAGGATTGGTATTATTGTAAGAATAAAATAATGAATGTAAAGCTTTTAAATGTTCACACAGGTTGTAATGAAGAAGAAACTGTGAGCACTTAATAGCTAACTAATATGATTCTTGATAAATAATAGGGTGTGGGGCAATGGGAAAATAAAATAAGATTAATTCATTAGCACTCCTATTTTTCAAATCTGTGGTCTGGGGGGAGGCAACCATGTAATCACCTATGACAGGTGTCTTAATACTGAAAAATCTAGACACTGGAGTTAATCTAAGATGATTATTATAGTAATCATTTATTTATATTTTTGAATCATGCCATTATTGTAATTGAAGAAGGATTTTCTGATATGTGTAGGTCACGGTAGTAGAATAATCTACCTGGCTTCAAAAGATCAGTCATTGATGTAACTCCAGCCAAGTTTTTGTGATTTGTTCATCAGATAGTGGGGTTTATATTAAACCATTGCAGCAGTGCCAAGGTCATCTTACTAGAGTATAAGTTGTGATGGCTCCTCATCATTTACTTATTTGGCAGATAACTTTAACTTTAATTGAATTGCAGTGCTGGACATAAACATTATACATTCCCTCTCCTCAAACCCTCTAATGGGGAGAGAGCAGACACTACAAATATAATTTGTTGTGATTGGTTCAAGTCTTTTTTTCCTTTCATTGCTCTTGGAATAAAAATATCTCAATTTCAGAAATATCGTTACTCTAAACAGGTCAGATTCCAGACATCGTACATAAAGCATCTACTGTAATCAATTACTGCAGAATAATACAAATACAGACTTGAGAATTCAGAGGATAGTACAAATTCTGAAGTGGTGAAGTAGGGCTAGGGAAGCTTTGGTTGGGTCATGGTGCTTCCAACTTCCCTATGTCCATGCAGTTATTATTGCTGAGTGCCAATAACAATGTTCTGTGTTCAGATATAAGATACTGGAGGACTTTGTTTAACCACAGGCTTTGAGGAGGTGGGCACGCCTCCTGGGGGCTCAGCCTCTCCAGTCACAGGAACTAGCCCCTAAATGAGAAGCTGGGCTCTGATAATGTGTCACTCTAGCCAAAAGCCAGAGGGGCGGACCTATGGAACCAAAAGGGTCCTGCAGGGATACCACAGCCACTCAACATCCCCATTATCCAATGCTGCTAAGTCAGCCTCAACTCAGCCGCAGTTACTGGGTTAGTCAATTTCAATTCAATTCAATGAGGCTCTTGATCTCCCAAGTACTTGGAAGACTTCTGATGATCCAGCAATTTGCCTCACACCCCATCCCAATTCATACAACTGGAAAAGAGCCAAGCATTGTCCTCCCAGTCTGTCTGATTCTAAAGCATCATCCCCTTCAGCCAGATCTTCTCTAAATATGACAGCAAAATTGAGATATTTTGTGAATAGAACCACCTGGCGCCTCATGGCCAGGTTTGGAGGTAAAGAAAGAGGTGAGAAATAGCAATTAAATAATGAGAGAGTAGAAATAGGACAGAAAGAGAAGAGGAATGATGCAGGATACTAGAATGCAGTGGATAAGGGTATGGGTGTTGAATTCTTGACCTGTCTGAGTTAAAGTCCTGGTTCTACCACTTTTTAATTGTGAAACCTTGAGCAAGCTTCTTAATGTCTGTGTGTCTCAGTTTCTTCATCTTAAAATGGAGCTGATGGTGGTACCTACCTTATTGGGAACTCTCTCCCTACATTTGTGATTAATTGATTATTGACAAAGGTGCCAGGACAATTCAACAGAGAAAGAATCATTTGGTTTTTTTTTTT